CTCCCTCTCTCTCCCTCTCTTCCTCTCCCTCCCTCTCTCTCCCTCTCTCCTCTCTTTCTCTCTCTTCCTCTCCCTCCCTCTCTCTCTCCCTTCCTCCCTCTCTCCCTCTCTCTTTCTCTCTCCCTCTCTCCCTCTATTTCAGGCCTTACGGTCTGCGTCACAGATGCTGACAGGTAATGGTGTCTATCCCTGTACCTGCTTCCCACGCTCAGTTCTTGTCCCGCGTGGCCATTTCCAACTGGTGTGTCGTAATGCTCCTCTCAAATATTCCCAGGAGACTTCACGAACAAATTCACAGATTCTCCGAACAAATCCTAGAGCAGAGCGCGCTGGAGCAGAGACTCGGCGAGACCCGGACAATTCTCAGACCACAGCACTTGCCCCCTCCCTGAGTGTCAGTGTGTGCGCATGTGTCTACCCCAGATGGGCAGAGCAGGACTGTGGTGGGGAGACCCCCGGGTCTTACTCACCACCCAGGAGCGCGTGTGATATGGTTGGGGTTCCGGGGACCGAGCCCCACCGCGGGAGTCTTGCCCTCAGCCCCACGCCACAGACGGACCCTGGCACTAGCCACCTGGTTGCTCTTCAGTCAGCCCCGCCTGGGCCCTTCAGCTTACTGAGCCTCAGTTTCCCCACCATTCCCTGGGCCTGGGGCCATTCCCTGGGGGGGTGGGCGGTGCATGGGGGCCAGGATACAGGAAGGGGAATGATCAGGCAGGGGCAGCTCCTGGCTCTGCGGTCAGTCGGGCACTGTGCCAGGATGCTCTGGGTGGGGGGGGACCACATGGTCCTGGGCTCCAGCTCTGCCCACTGGACTCTCCGGCCCCAGCTGATGTTTCCTTGGTCCCGTTCACCTTTCCCGACACCAGAGAAGGACTGAGAGTGGCAGGTGTGGGGGTGGTGCTGAGCGGCCACTTTGGGCCATGTGCCGGTTCCGGGGGCAAGTGGACAGTGACCGAGTGACCAGGCAGCCGGTCTGTCCCTGGGCATCTCTTCAACAACAACGCAACAACAGTTGGCAGTGCTCCCAGCTTGGCCCACGGGGAAGGAGATGCCCCCAGCCCAGCTTCCCCCGCCAGGGGTCTGGAATATTCCACCGGAAACCCCACGGGCCAGAGTCGGGTCTCTCCAGCACAGCTGTGTCGGGGGCGTTTTCTGCAACGTCTGGTCAGAAAAACTGAAGAGACTCCCTAGGTGGCAGGCACTTCCCTGGGCCCCCGCATCTGGGCGGTTGCGTGGGCCGGGCACGGGAGTGACTCTGCTAGCTCGGACCCGGGGCCAGGCACAGGCTGTTGCTGGGTGGTGGGGCGCAGAGCCCCCCAAGGCTGATTTCAACACACTCCTCGGGGTCACCGCTGGACACGGCCCCCAAGGGTAGAGAAAGGGGGTGTCTTCTGAGGGATGCACCCCCAGGGTCTGTGGTGTGTGGGGCCTTGTCGTCTCCTGGCTCTGACGCCCAGTGTGGCCAGCCTGGTCACCCCAGCGGGGAGACTGGAGGGACAATCCCCCCTCCCGCCCTGCGCCCCACAGGCAGCCGACGCCACCTGCTGGTGACACACGTGCACACACAGCCCAGGGGTTTCTGCTCAGCAACGTTTGCCCTGCCCTGCTGTCCTGAAGGGGCGGGGTGTGAGAGCGAGTGTGTGTGTGTGCGTGCGTGTGTGCAGAATGTGCACGTGTGCACACGTGTGTGTCAGTGAGAGTGGGTGCGATCTGTGCGTGTGCAAGAGTGTGAGAATATGTCCGTGTATGTGTGTGTGCAAGTGTGTGTGTGAACGGACGTGTCCTTTTTTGTTAGTATGTGTGTTTGTTTTACCGTTCCATGGACTCTCTTGTGAGTTCAGAATGCACATGAAATACTTGTGGTGTACCAGGATCTCAGAGCACTGTTGCGGGAGCCGGAGCGATAGCACAGCGGGGAGGGCGTTTGCCTGGCACGCGGCCCACCAGGGTTCGATCCTCGGTATCCCATAAGGTCCTTTGAGCACCACCAGGAGTGATTCCTGAGTGTAGAGCCAGCAGGAGACCCTGAGCATCGCCGGGTGTGACCCAAAATAAAAAAATTTAAAAAAAAAGGCAACAGTAAAACTTTTGAGTAGAAATAAAAGAGCTAAAAGCTCAGAGCATTGATGTGGTGGCCTGTGCCTATCTGTCCATCCGCCCTGTGGCCCTTCCCTTGTCCCGTGGAAGCTCGGTGACTTCATCTGTGAAGAATGGACACGGTCTTCCTGGCCTCTGAGGACCATGGCCAGACCCTGAGCTAGGAGAGAGGAATGCACGAGGGGCGGGCTCAGATAAGAGACCAGCAGGGTCCACTGTGAGGCAGTGGACAAAGCACCACCACAGCCAACACCCGCCTTCCACAAACAGACACGGCCCAGTTAAGCCAGGCCTGCGGGGCAAGGGGCAGCCTGGCCTGAGGCCACACGCTGAGCCAGGTCTGGGGGGTGTGGGAGGGCGGGGTGGCCCCCCGCAGGATGTGCTGGGCCTCAAGGCCTCTCTCTGCAGTGACCTCTCTGAATCTCCTCTCCTACTCTCCTAGCCAGCCTGTCAGTCACGGCCTGGCCGCAAGGTGACCCCACAGGGCAGTTGCAAGGACCCAGTTAGAGTTCGCTGATGAGAGTGGGGCCCGGGGCGGGTGGGGCTTGGGCAGGCAGAGAGGGGGCTGGTGACTGAGGCGGTGGTCTGAGGGGGGCTGTGTTTCTGAAACGGCTGGTCCCGTAGCGAGGGCAGTGGGGGTCCCCAGGCAGGTGGCAGGTGACGGGGACGGTGACCTCCCAGCTGTGACCCGGGGCGCACTGCTGACTGCTCTGAGCTCCTGATACCCCGGGGAAGACACAGCCCCAGGCTCTTGCCCTGCACTCGGGCAGAAACTGAGACTTCTGGAAGCAGGAGAAATGTGCTAGAAGCTTCCAGAACTCTTCTAGAACCAACGAGGCCCAGGTGCTGCGTTGGAATAATGTACTCCTGAGGACAGCCTGGTGCGACGGCCCCGCTGCAGCTCCGACATGCGGGCACATTGAGGGGGGAGGGGACCGGGGTGCCCAGGAAAGTCCTTCAACAAGTGCAGGGGGTCACTCCCTGCCCTCTGGCCGGGGGCCTTGTGCCTGCGAGGAGAGGACGCCTGCCCACAAGCAGGACGGTGAGGGCTCGCAGGAGCTGGGGACAGTCTGCCTTCCGCTGCGGGGACAGCCCGTGTGACAGGCGGGCAGTGTGGATGGGGGTGAGGCGCTCCCAAATACTCGTGTTCCTGGAGCCCGGGGCCTCCCGCCTGGCCTGGGAGGTGTGAGCGCGGCCTCCTGCCTGGCCCTCGGTCCCTGACAGCTTTCAATGCCACTGAAGGCCTGGCCCCGCCCGGTCACAAGGTCTCCGTCACCTGGGCTGCTCCTAGTGGGGCCCGCAACTCCGGGGGAACCCGCCCCAGGAGACCCTCAAGAACCAGGACAGGCCTCTGGCCTTGCGCAAACGCTCCTGAGTGAACATGCCGCATGGCGCTAACGCCCCGGGGTCCCCTGGACTAAGCTGTGCCCCCGAGCTCACTGCTGGGTCTGCCCTGTAGGAGGGGGCCATCCAGAGCCCTGATTCAAGTGCTCCGAGGCAGGGCTCTGGGGCCGGCGGGAGGCACGGGCTCCTGGGGGGGGGGGGGGGGCTCAGAACTCGCATAGACCAGAAGAGAGCGGGAGGGACAGGAGACTGAGCTCCAGGACCGTCCCCCAAGTCTGGACAAAATAGGGTTTGTCTGTACGCATGCTCGGCCGGTGCAGATCCCCCCCCCCCCACAGCGTTAAGGCTTAGGGATGTATCTTTTATAGACAGCGGTGCTTGGGGGGTCACTCCCAGAGAGGTGCATGGTGCCAGGGCCCAGCCCCCCCAGCCCCATCCGGCTTCTGTCACTTGGCGGAATGTGCGTTTTGGGGCTCCGTGCCCTTCTCTGGCTCGACAGCCTGCTTCTCACACTGAAAAACCACCGCCCGTGGCCTGGAGGACAGTGTCTGCCTTGGCCACGCACCCAGGGGGCCGGCGGCTGCTTGTGGCCACCGGGGTGGGGTCCCCAACTCATTTGGGCAGATTCAGAGCGATGTTTGAATCCTTTTAAGAATGAGAACTCTTTACTGGATTGTTCCATTGTTGACCTGTCTCTGGCAAGCAGCAGATGGGGGACCCCCAGAGCAGGGAGAGAGAAAAGGGGGGGGCCACGAACAGCCAGGCCTGGTGGACGCACGGCGGTGGGCGCTGCGCAAGGCCTTCTGCTCTTCTGGGTGTGAATCTCGTGACAAAAGGATGAAGCAAAGCAAAAGAGAATCCAACAAAACCTACTGGCGAGTGTGAGTGTGTGTGTGCCTGTGTGTGAATGTATGCTTGTGTGTGCATGTGTGTATGTAAGTATTCGTGTGTATGTGCATGTATGCATGCATGTGTGGATGTACGCGTGTACCTGTGTGTATATGTGTGTGCATGTGTGTGTGTGTGTGTACGCACGCGAGTGTATGTGTGTGTGTGAAGCTGTAAGGGCCTTCAGAGGAGATTAGACCCCGCGCTGATCCCTGGGTCTGCCTCCTGGGGGCTTAGGGGCTGGAGCACCTAAGTTCTCTTGTCAGACGGTGACCACAACGTCCCAGTGAGGCCACAGGTGGTGCCCGGGGCCTGTCCAGCACTGGGGTGGCTGGGGCCCTTCAACGTGGGCACTGAGCAAGTGCAGGTGCAGAAGGCCGTGGGCTCCACCGGCCCTTCTCAGGGTGACGCAAACGTGGGCCAGACCCTCACCATGGGCTGGGCCGCAGGCCCAGGAGCACGGGCGGACGGGGTCCAGGGGGTCATGTCCACAGTGGGGAACCAAACCCGACACCCTGGCACAAGGACGCTTGCGTGTGCATGTGTGTGACTGTGTGTGTCCGTGTCTGTGTGTACTGTCTGCGTGCACGCGTGCGTGTGTGCGCGCACAGTGTGACATTCCCAAGCCGCCGCCGCGTTCACCCGCGGTGGCTGGGGGCGGGAAGGAGGCTCGGGTCCTTATCGGCTCCTTGTATTGAACTGCGAGAAGTAGTCTTCGCTGTGGTAGTTCGTGGACGCCTCCTTCGTGGCCTTTTCCCTGACGGTACAGGGAAAGGACACGTCAGCAGCGCCGCAGCCATCCTGGGCACCCGCCGGGACTCGCCCGCGGAGCTCCTGGTCGCCCTCCTGCCCCAGACACCAGCTGGGCTCATGGGTGCCGGGGGAAGCTTCTCCCCTGCTGGGGCCGTGGGGGGCAGGGAAGGGCATGCCTCCACTCACTCCTGGGCGGGGGCACCCAACCGCCCTCCAGCCCCCCAGAGGGGAGATGGCCAACAGTGACCCCCACCCCACCAAACCACATCACTGAGACGCCCCAGCCTAGCGCCAGGGGCAGGAACGGGACCAGCTGGTTTCCCTCTGGAGTCCCCCTATGCTTGGGCACCCGGATGTAAGGGCCACTCTTAAGGGCTGGGGGGCGGGGGGGACAAGGAAGAGACCCCAGGCTTGCTCATGGCAGCCCCGGGCCCTCCCCCTGCCCAGAGAGCATCGCTCCCTGCTGGCGGCCTCCAGGAAGACCCCCTGGCTCTGCCAGGCCCAAGGGGAAGGCAGTGCCCCCCCACCAGTGGCCGGCATCTGCCTGAGCCCCGTGGTGAGGTGGGGTGGGTGGGGGTGCGGGAGGGAGGAGGGAGGAGAGCGCCCCAGGGCGCCATCCCCAAGGGGCTCTGTCATCATCCGCAGGTGCGGGGCCTTCTCCCCTTGGCCGCTGAGTTCTCAGACCCCCGGGCGCGCCGAGGGTCGGGGGCGCCGGGCGGGGGGCGGGGGTCTCACCGGAGCCGCTGCTCCTCGGCCAGGCCCCGGTTGCTGCAGTCCAGTGCCAGGCGCGCCTCCCGCCGCTGCCGCTCCCGCTGCCGCTGCTCCAGCTGCGCGTCCCGGGCCTCCTGCACCCGCAGCCGGTCCCAGGCGCGCGCGCGCTGCCGCTCCTCCTCCTGCAGCCTCTGCCGGGGCGGGGGGCTCAGGGCCGGCCCCTCCCCGCCCCCGACACCCGGGAGACGCCTGCACGGGCACCGCGCCCCTGGCCTGGGTGGGGGGACGCGCCCCACTCGGCCTGGCCGCGCGCCCCTCCCCAGGTCAGACGCCCAAAGGTCCTGCCCCCGCGGGCGCCCCTCCCCAGGTCGACACCCAAGAGTCCTGCCCCCGCGGGCGCCCCTCCCCAGGTCAGACGCCCCATGGGCCCTGCCCCCCGCCCCCGGGACCCCCGGGGCGCGGTACCAGCTTCTCCTGGACCTGCAGCTGCTGCAGGTCGCGCACGTGCGCGCGCTCCTGGGCGCTCATGCCCTTCCAGCGGTGGGGCAGCAGCCGGCGCGGGCCCCCGGTGCTGGCCGCCTGCAGCGGGTTCTCGGTCAGCAGGTCCCAGCCCAGCAGGTGGCAGATCTCGGCCGCGTTGTCCTCCTCTTCCTGCTGCCTCTCTCGGGCCCTCCTGGTCGCCAGCTCCGCCACCTGCCCGGGGCCAGGGGCAGAAGCGCGCAGGGGTGAGCGCCAGGGGCCCACCGAGGCTTCCCCTGGGATCTGGACGCCCCCCCCCACCACACACACCGGGAACCACGCAGGCTGGCCACGTGTCCAGTGTTCCCGCAGCCCTGCGCGGGCAGCCCGCCACATACCCACAGACGCCACACCCATGGACGCAGGGCCACCGGGGTGCGGGGCTGACCAGCGGCCACATCTGCTCCCAGGAGCAGCGCCAGGAAGGAGTGACCCCTGGACACTGTGGGGGTGGCCCTCCTACCCCAGAACGACCACCCAGTGGGGCTGCTCAGACTCCCTCCAGCTCCCAACCCTGCTCTCGCCACTTGGGGACCTCGGTTCTGACCCCAGGACTGGGGGAGGCAGCACCCCGCCACCTGGACGGTGGCAGGTCCAACCTGGGGAGGGGTGGGGGTCTTTCTTTCCCAAGGGGGCGCCTGAGTCAACCTCGGCGTGGGGCCGGCAGAGCCCGGAGAACCAGAGAACGGAGGTGTGTCCGGGAGCCCCCCAAATCTGCAGGCCGTGCTTGGGCAAGGGGGGCCCCGAGCCCGGGGAAGTGCTGTGGGGTCCGGCAGAGGCGGCCCAGGCGGCCAGGGGCCCAGCTGTGGACCCCGCCTGGCCTGTCTCCGTGTACCTGGCTCTTGTTGAACTCCTTCACTGCCACGCAGATGGCCTTGCTGGTGGCCCTCTCCTGCTCGTCCAGGAGCCTGGCGGTGGCGTCAAACTGCAGCTGGGTCTGCGTGTGGCGGTCCTCTGGGGGAGAGCAAGGCGCCGTCACACAGGTGGGCCCCCGCTCCCCCAAACAGGGCCCCCCGGGTGGCAACCTTGGGGACGCTCAGGTAAGGCCCGTGAGGCCGTGGCAGCAGTGCATCCGGGCAGAGGGTTGCGGCTACAGACTACTGGGCATGTCCACTGTGGGCGGGCCATGTCTGAGGACCAGTGGTGCCGTCTGCTGGGAGTGAAGACTGTCCACTGCGGGTGGAGGGTCTCGGCGGAAGATTGGTGATGTCTGCTGTGGGTGGGGACTGGTCACTGCAGGTTCAGGGCGTCTGAGGATGATCAGTGGGGTCTGCTGTGGCTGGAAAATAACCATGGTGGGCGGAGGGTGTCTGCAGGCCGTCGGTAGTGTCCGCGGTGGGTGGAGACTGTCCACTGCGGGGGGAGGGTGTCTGCGGATGGCTGATGATGTCTGCTGTGGCTGGACGCTGTCCACGGTGGGTGGCGGGTGTCTGAGGACGAGGGGTGGCATCCGCTGTGAGTGGGGACTGTCCACCGTGGGTGGAGGGTGTCTGTGGACGATTGGTGCTGTCGGCTGTGGGTGGACACTGTCCACTGTCGCTGGAGAATGTCTGCGGATGATGGGTGCTGTCTGCCGTGGGTGGAGACTGTCCACGGTGGGCTTAGGGTGTCTGAGGACGAGGGGTGCCATCCGCTGTGAGTGGAGACTGTCCACCGTGGGTGGAGGGTGTCTGCGGACGATTGGTGCTGTCTGCTCCGGGTGGACAGTGTCCACTGTCGGTGGGGAGTGTCTGCGGATGATGGGTGCTGTCTGCTGTGGGCTCAGACCGACCATGGTGGGCTTAAGGTGCCTGAGGACCAGGGGTGCTGTCTGCTGTGGGTGGAGCCTGTCCACTGCGGGTGGAGGGTGTCTGAGGGCCAGTGGTGCTGTCTGCTGTGGCCCCAGGCCCAGAGCGCTCTGCGGGACCCCTGCCATCCCTGATCTCGGGGGGCCTGGCCTCTACGTCCTCCCCGGGTCCAGTGGGAACCCAGAAGCGGGCGCCATGGGAGCCGAGGGTGCTCCCCAGGGGAGGGTGTCCAGGAAGCCAGGAGAGCGCAGGCGGGGGTGTGGGGGAGGCTCGGGGGGTGGGCACGGGCAGGGGGCTCACAATGGCGCTGGACAGAGGGGGGCTCTGTCCTGCGGGGGCCACGCCCACCAGTGCTGGAGGGCAGGGGACAGCACCAAGGCCAAGGCTGCAACGCGGGCTCGGAGCTGGACACCGAAACCCCGAAGTCTGGAGCTCGCGGAGAGCAACAGTGAACAAGACGCACAGAACCCGCCGCCGTCCTGAGCGGGGCGGGGTCCGGGGAGGGGCCTCCAGGGAAGCTGCGGTCCGACACCGAGGAGGGGGACGGGGCAGGGAGGTTGTGCCCCGCCATGGGACGTTTGAGCCCAGATGGGACGTTGGGGGAAGAGGTGGGTGGCCCTGAGGGCATCTGGGGAAAACGCTCCTCCGGAGGGCGCAGGATCGGGAGCTGCAAAGGCCCGGGGGCAGAAGGCGCGAGTGCTCGCTCTGGGGAAAGGCGCGCTGGCCAGAGGGCCGTGGGTGGCTCCGAGCTTCAACCCCCGGGCAGTGAGAAGGCACTGGACGAGCCCCGGCTGCTGGGCCGGGCACAGGGAGAACCACCAAGCGTGCAGCTCCGGGAGGGAAACGCGCAGGGGCAGCCGGTTGGGGGGTGGGGGTGGGGGTCGCTGGACCAGAGTGACATCGGGGAGAAGGGGGGGCGGCCGGAGACCTTGGGGCGGGGGGCCTGGAGTTCCGACCAAGGGAGGGGGGGGGCAGGTCTTCAAATCGCCTTCCTGGGCCGGAACGCCCGGCGCCCACGGACCAGGCACCCGCGCGCAGGGCGGGGTCCACGGGGCCCCTGGACCCCACAACCCAACCCTAAACCCCTGGGTGGGAGCGACACAGCTGCCAGGGGGGTCGCCTAGGTGACGCCAGGGGAGGGGTCGCAGCAGAGAGCAGCGGCCCTCGGAGGTCCGCTCGGAGCAGGCGGGGCCAACAGGGCCCCGGCCAGGCGATGCCCGTGCACTGACCGCGCCCGGGACAGGGGACGCAGCTATTGGTCGATTTCAGTGCAGGCTGGGGGCGGAAGTCGGGGTGCGGGGCGGGGCCTGCGAGAATCCGGGACGGTGATTGGGGCAGAGCCCAGCGCGGGCGCAGGGGGCGGGCGGTGCGTGCGCGCCCCCGAGCCCCGAGACGGTGCGTGCGCGTGCGCGTGCTCGGGGCACAGCGGACGCGGCTGCAGCGCGCTCCCGTGTGCGTACGTGCGCGTGCTCGAGGCACGGCAGCAGCTGCAGCGCGCGCTCCCGTGCGCGCGCGCTCCCGTGCGCGCACGTGCTTGGGGCACGGCGCCGGTCGCAGATAGCAATGCGCGCTCCCGCTCCCGTGCGTGCGCGTGCTCCAGGCACAGCAACAGCAGCAGTGCGCGCTCCCGTGCGTGCGCGTGCTCGAGGCACAGCAGCAGCTGCAGCGCGCGCTCCCGTGTGCGCGCGCTCCCGTGCGTGCACGTGCTTGGGGCACGGCGCCGGTCGCAGGCAGCAACGCGCGCTCCCGCGTGCGCGCTCCCGTGCGTGCGCGTGCTCGAGGCGCAGCAGCAGCGCGCGCTCCCGTGCGTGCATGTGCTCGGGCACGGCAGCGGTCGCAGCGCGTGCACCCGTGGGCGTGCGCGCGCTCGGGGCAAGGCAGCAGTGCGCGCTCCCGTGCGCGCGCGTGCCCGGAGCCGGGCCAGGGTTGCGCCCAGCCCTACCTGCGCGCTTCCGCGCTGCCCGCGCGTCGCGTCCTTCCCGCTGCTGCTGCAGGAGCCACTCCCGGTTCTGCTCCTCCTGGAACTTCTTCCTGGCCTGGAAGTCGAGGTCCTCGCCCATGAACTTCTGCATGCCCGAGACGGTGTTGCGGGGGTCGTGGTCCGAGAGCCGGGCTGGCGGCTCTTTCTGGAGGGCCAGGGGGTCCGAGAGGTCGAACTCGCGGCGCGTCTCGGGGCGCTGGCAGTTCTGCCGGAACTTGCTGATGGCTCTGCAGATGTTTAGCTTATCTGTCTTCTCCCGGTTTTCTAACATGCACAGGATCTTGTCGTTGTGCTTCATCTCGGCGGCTGGAAGAGACAGCACACACACACACACACACACACACACACACACACGAGACATAACACAGTGACTCACTTGACTTCCCAGGCGAAAGTAAACCTGAGCTCACTTTTAAAACTAGGTTTTTGGGGCCCGGAGCGATCATCCAGTGGGGAGGGCGTCTGCCTTGCACCCGGCCAACCCGGGTTCGACTCCCCCCCCCATCCCATAAGGTCTCTGGAGCACCGCCAAGAGTGATTCCTGAGTGCAGAGCCAGAAGTAACCCCTGAGCATCACCGGGTATAGCCCCCAAAACAACAATTTAAAAAAAATTAACTCTTGGGGGCTCAGAAAGAGAGGATGGGAGTTAAGGTGGTTGCCTGGCATGCTGCTGGTCTTGGTCTGATCCCCAGCACCACATATGGTCCCAAGAGGACTGAGGTTCTGCGCACAGAGCCGAGTAAACCCTGAGCACTGCCAGGTGTGGCCCAAAACTAATCCCCTCCAATTTGGAAAGTAGTTTGCCAAAATCTAAAGAAACTCAAAATATGCACACAGAGGACCCCCAGTTCTTGACAATGCAGAGCCCAGATATTCACTGCAGAGCTCTCGTCCTGCTTCTTTAGATTTAAAAATCTTCACGGCGGGGCCAGAGCAATAGTGCAGCAGGTAGGGCACTTACCTTCCTTCCGTGTGGCTGACCAGAGTTTGACCCAGACACCCCATATGGTCTTTTGGGCACCACCAGGAGTAATTCCTGAGTGCAGGGCTGAGAGTAACCTCGGAGGATCGCCAGGTGTGACCCAAATATTATCATGGTCCGCGTTTGTCTCCTACACGCTTGGGAACAATGAGGAAGATGATGGGAAGAGCTTCAGCCCCCGCCATACATGTATGTTCAAAAACTGTATAGAAATGTGAGGGGTTGGAGAGCGCTCAAGGGGCTGGGTGCAGCTTTGCGGGCAGGGAGCCGGGGTTGGCTCCCGCACCACAATGTCCCCAGAGCACGCTGGGATTGGCCCGTTTACCCAGGGCCAGGAGGAGCCCTGAGCACCCAGCCTGTGACCCCAGAACCAAAATACTTAAAGCCAATTTGGCAAAATCTTTACATCTGGGGCTGGAGCAGTAGCATCACATTTATTTATTTTATTTATTTTTTTTTGCTTTTTGGGGTCACACCCGGCGATGCACAGGAGTTCCTCCTGGCTCTGCACTCAGGAATCACCCCCTGGCGGTGCTCAGGGGACCCTGTGGGATGCTGGGAATCGAACCCGGGTCGGCCGCGTGCAAGGCAAACGCCCTACCTGCTGTGCTATCACTCCAGCCCCAGTAGTATCACATTTAAAGTGAATCCAAGGGGCCAGAGTCACAGCACAGTGGGGAGGGCATTTGCCTTGCACGCGGCCGACCTGGGTTCGATTTCCCAGCACCCCATAGGGTCCTCCGAGCACCACCAGGAGTAATTCCTGAGTGCAGAGCCAGGAGGAACACCTGAGCATCGCTGGGTGTGACCCCCTCCCCCCCCAAAAAAAAACTTTACATCTAATTTTGTTCAGGGTAGATGCTGTCCTGAACATCCTTGCAGATCGTGAGTTTAAGATGGTGGGTGCATGTTTATTCCATGGTTGTTGTTGTTTAGCACCTGGACCACACCTGGCTGTACTCAGGGCTGCCTCCCTGGCTCTGCAGTAAGGAATAACTCCTGGCCCTGCTTGTGGGACCACCTAGGGTCCTGGGGGTGAAACTGGGTCGGCTCCGTGCAAAACCAGTGCCCTACCCGCTGTGGCATCCTCGGCACCAAAGAGGCTGAATTCTAGAAGACACCGAGGGACACACACAGCCCTAACCCCCTGGACAGGCATCAGGCTCACCGAAGATTTCATCTCTAGCCTTCTCAGTCGCCTCTCGAATCTTCTGGTCTCGAACCTGAATGTCCCACGCGGCGGGGTCTCCCTGGGAATGGAGGGCGGGGGTGAGGGGCCGTCACTGCGTCCGGGTCGTCATCAGTCTGTCTCCCCAAAGGCCCCTGCCAAGGAGTGATCTTAGATATGCCTCTTGCCTCTGCCTGTCCTTATGCCGCTCCTTCGAGCAACTTCTTCAGCTGACCTCCACGATTCCTTTTTTTTTTTTTTTTTTTTTTTGCTTTTTGGGTCACACCTGGCGATGCACAGGGGTTACTCCTGGCTCTGCACTCAGGAATTACTCCTGGCGGTGCTCAGGGGACCATATGGGATGCTGGGAATCGAACCTGGGTCGCCCACGTGCAAGGCAAACACCCTACCCGTTGTGCTATCACTCCAGCCCCCCAAAAGTGATTTTTTTAAAAAACAACTATTTCAGACCATGAGCCTCAACAAAGAAGGAAAACGTTACAAAGCGAGAAATAACAAAGTGTTTACTACAGTCTTTTTTGTTTGCTTTTTTGTTTTTTGCTTTTTGTGTCACACCTGCCGATGTACAGGGGTTCCTCCTGGCTCTGAGCTCAGGAATCACTCCTGGCAGTGCACAGGGGACCCTATGGGATGCTGGGAATTGAACCCGGGTTGGCCTCGGGCAAGGCAAACGCCCTCCCCTCTGTGCTATCTTTCCAGCCCTGCCTCCAAGCTTCCTATCCCTTTCTCTTCCTTAACAATACTCCTTGGGGCTCTGCGGGGGCCGAGGGGGGGCATCCCCGACTCCCCACCCCACCCCGCACGGCTGGGCTCCCCCAGCTCCCGCCACACACACTCTAATGTGACCACTTGGACGCCTGCCTCGCCTCTGCTGCCGCTGCCCGCGCTCTGTAAGGTCCCGGGTTCTCAAGGCCCAGCCGGCCCCAGCCGATCCCCCAACGGGAATCTGCGGGTGGGGATCCAGGAGTCCGCAAGGGGCAGGCCTGGCTTACATGGGCTGGGCTTGATAGGCCTAATCTGAGAAGGGAGTACTGAATTTTTTTTTGTTTGTTTGTCTGTTCAGGAGCTAGAACCCGAACTAGCGAACCAGAGACGTGCGTTGGGTCAAGAGTGCACTCCTCTGGTGCAAAAGGCACAGCTGTGTCCTGGGGAAGGCCCTGAAATTCCTTGCAGATCATGAGTTTAAGATGGTGCGTGTGCGGCGCCCATGCTGCCCGAGCCCATGTGCTGCTTGCGCCCACGCCGGCTGAGCAGATGTGGTGCCCGAGTACATGTGTCGCCCGCATCTCCCCTCTTGAGATGTGGACTTTCGTGCTTTCGTGTCTAATGCTAGGATGTGTGTAGGGGCTCTCTGCCCTTGGAGAAGCTGGCGTTCTCTTTTGAGCGTGTTTCTCTCTCTCTCTCTCTCTCTCTCCCTCCACACCTTAAAAACCCTCCAAGTAAAATCTATTTATTTCACTGCTTGGACTGGAGCCATAGCACAGTGGGTAGGGCGTTTGCCTTGCATGCGGCTGACCTGGCCAACCTGAGTTCAATTCTTCTGCCCCTCTCGAAGAGCCCGACAAGCTACCGAGAGTATCTTGCCCGCACGGCAGAGCCTGGCAAGCTCCCCGTGACGTATTCAATATGCCAAACACAGTAACAACAAAGTCTCACAATGGAGACGTTACTGGTGCCCAATTGAGCCAATCAATGAACAATGGGAGGACAGTGCAGTGCAGTCCAAAAAAAAAAAAAAAGGAGGGGTGTGTGTGTTATTTTTTGGGGTTTTTTTTGGCTTTTTTTTTTCTTTTTGGGTCACACCCGGCGATGCTCAGGGGTTCCTCCTGGCTCATGCACTCAGGAGTTGCTCCTGGCGGTGCTCAGGGGACCATATGGGGTGCTGGGAATCGAACCTGTGTCAGTCATGTTGGCTGCGTGCAAGGCAAACGCCCTACCCGCTGTGCTATCACTCCAGCCCCTTTTTTTGGCTTTCTTTTGGTCACACCCAGCGATGCACAGGAGTTACTCCTGGTTCGTACACTCAGGAATCACTCCTGGCGGTGCTCAGGGGGACCCTATGGGATGCTGGGAATCGAACCCGGGTCGGCAGTGTGCAAGGCAAATGCCCTCCCTGCTGTGCTATTACTCCAGCCCCGGTGTGTGTGTGTGTGTGTGTGTGTGTGTGTGTGCGCTATCACTCCAGCCCCGGGTGTGTGTGTGTGCTATTACTCCAGCCCCGGCTGTGTGTGTGTGTGTGTGTGTGTGTGTGCTATTACTCCAGCCCCGGGGTGTGTGTGTGTGTGCTATTACTCCAGCCCTGGGGTGTGTGTGTGTGTGTGTGTGTGTGTGTGTGTGCTATTACTCCAGCCCCGGCTGTGTGTGTGTGTGTGTGTGTGTGTGCTATTACTCCAGCCCTGGCTGTGTGTGTGTGTGTGTGTGTATTCCACTGCTGTTGCTCGGGCTTCCCGACCACACCTGGCCATCGTGCTCAGGGCTGCCTCCCGGCCCTGCTCGTGGGACCCTCTGGGGCCCTGGGGGTGACACTTCCGCTCCCCCCCCACCCACGTGCCCCTGGCAAGGCCCAGTTCAGCCCCCTGGCCAGCGAGGGGCCGCGCCCTGGGCCCGGGTGCGGGCCCCTCCCGCCTTGGACGAGCCCGACGAGGCTGGCCCCCCGCACAGCGGCGGTGCCAGGCCGGCCGGGACGGGGTCGGGGGTCGGGGTCGGGGGTCGCGGGCCCCCCCTCACCCCGATGAGCCGGGCCCTGGCGTTGAAGATCCGGCCCTGCCGCAGCAGCTCCGCGTGCCGCCTCTGGGTCAGCGCCAGGAACTGCTTCTGGTCCCTGGGCAGCAGCATCGCCGCGCCGGGGTCCATGGCCGGGCTGGGGGCGCGCGGGGCGGCCGGGAGGAACCGCCGCCGCCGCCGCCGCCGCCGCCGCGGGGTCGAGTCCGGTCGCTAGGCAACGGCGCCCGCCGCGCTCTCGCGAGACTCGCGCGCCTCTTCCCGCGCTTTCCCGCTCCCGGCCGGCGGCGCGTGCGGGCGCAGAGGCGGGCGAGGGCGCGCGGCGCGGCCATGGGGCGGCTGGAGCTGCTGCTCGTGGACAACTTCAAGTCGTGGCGGGGCCGCCAGGTCATCGGGCCCTTCCGCAGGTTCACCTGCATCATCGGCCCCAACGGCTCGGGTAACCCCAGGCGCGGGGACCCGACCCCGACCCCGACTCTGACCCCCGACCCCCACCCCGCGGGCGCCTCACGGGGGCCCCCCCCGCCCCCCCACCCGCGGGGCGGCCCCTCCTCGGGGAGACGCGCGCGCGCAGCCTCTCGCCCCGGACCCCCGAACCGAGCGGCCCCTGCGCCCCCACTTCCGGCGGGGGGGCGCCCCCCCACCCCGAACATTCTCGAGCGAGGCAGGCGCCGAAGGAGCGGCCGCCCACGCGGGTCGCGCCGCCGCCACCCGCCTTGCCCCCGCGTCTGACTGAACTTCCGGTCAGGACTGGCCCCGACGCGGCCGGGGACTGGCCCCGCTGCTTCTGACTGAACTTCCGGTCACGTCTGGCCCCGCTTCTGACTGAACTTCCGGTCAGGACTGGCCCTGACGCGACCGGGGACTGGCCCCGCTGCTTCTGACTGAACTTCCGGTCACGTCTGGCCCCGCTTCTGACTGAACTTCCGGTCAGGACTGGCCCTGACGCGACCGGGGACTGGCCCCGCTGCTTCTGACTGAACTTCCGGTCACGTCTGGCCCCGACGCGACCGGGGACTGGCCCCGCTGCTTCTGACTGAACTTCCGGTCACAACTGACCACCAAGCGGCGGGAGCCTGTCCCCGCTTCCGACTGAACTTCCGGTCACGTCTGGCCCCGCTTCTGACTGAACTTCCGGTCACGTCTGGCCCCGCTTCCGACTGAACTTCCGGTCACGTCTGGCCCCGCTTCTGACTGAACTTCCGGTCACGTCTGGCCCCGACGCGACCGGAGACTGTCCCCGCTTCTTCTGACTGAACTTCCGGTCACGACTGACCACCAAGAGGCCGGGGCCCGTCCCCGTGTCTGAGAGAACTTCTGGTCACGACTGGTCCCGACACGGCCTGGCCGGGCTGGTCAGGGGGCACCCCCCTGCCCCCCACCGCGGGTGTGACTTAAGCACCGAGGGAAGTGGGTGGCGGCCACGTTCTTTGCGCGGCCCTCACGGCCAGGTGGCGGGAGGGAAGCCCACTGCGAGCCCCGGGCACGCGGCAGCCACTCACGCTGGCCCGTCCCCGTGAGCTGGCGCGGGATCCCCTGAGCAGAAAGTCCCCCCCACACACACACACCACAGGAGTCCAGGGCGCCCCCGGGGTCACGCAGAGGACAGCTGCAAAGGGTTCGAGTCCAGCTTCAACCAGGTGTGCGTCCCCGTCCCATACCCGACTCGGGGTGGACCGAGCGTTTGAAAGTGAATTCCGGGGCCGGAGCCATAGCGCAAGCAGGGAGGGCGTTTGCTTTGCAGGTGGCCGACCCGGGTTCGATCCCCGGCATCCCATAGGGTCCCCCGAGCACCGCCAGGAGAAATTCCTGAGTGCAAAGCCAGGAGGAACCCCTGAGCATCTCTGGTGTGACCCCAAAAGCAAAAAATAATAAAAAAATTTCCAGCCCTTAAAAAAAGTGAATTCTGGGGCTGGAGCAGTAGCACAACAGGTAGGGCGTTTGCCTTGCACGGGCCAACCTGGGTTCGATTCCCAGCATCCCATACGGTCCCCCGAGCACCACCAGGAGTGATTCCTGAGTTCATGAGCCAGGACTAATCCCTGTTCATCGCTGGGTGTGACCCAAAAAGCAAAAAAAAAAAGTGAATTCCAGGGCTGGAGCAATAGCGCAGTGGGGAGGGCGTTTGCCCCGCACACAGCTGACCGGGGTTCGATTCCCAACATCCCGTAGGGTCCCCAGAGCACCGCCAGGAGTCATTCCTGAATGCAGAGCCAGAAGTCAGCCCTGAGCATCACTGGGTGTGACCTAAAAAGAAAAAAAAAAGGGAATTTTAGACCTGAGTCAATATAAATTTTTTTTTTTAATTTGAGAATGTGCATGTTGTGCTTCACCAACTGTCTTGAAGGCACTGAGGAAATGTCTTTCCATTGCCTCTCGCCCCTCAGGAGGTCCACTGTCTGGAAGCCCAGCTCCCCCCCCCCAGAGTCCCTGATCACAGAGCCATTGACCACAGAACCACATCAAGCCAGGCAGAAATTGCTTCAGCATTGCCTTCAATAGCCTCTCCTTAACAAGGATTTCTCCTTTACTAAATTTTCCTAAACTGTTCAGTTTTTTTTTTGGCTCTGCATAGACTTGAAGTCAGTATTTATCCATAACTAATTTAATCTGTCCACTTGGATGCTCATTGTTATTAAGGCATATTTTTTCTGTTCTTACGGTATTACTGGCATAGTCATTTAGACTGTTAAACCAAAGTATAATTTACTCTTCTGATCATTTTGGCCATACTTAATTTTGTTGGACATACGTTTTATGATTTCTCTTGTTACAGTCTGCCACAACTTGACATGTTTTCACCGAATCTAATTTTGTTGGGTTTTTCGTGGCGCCAAAAAACAAAAAGGTTTTTTTTTTTTTTGGCATCTTGGGTCACACCCGGTGATATACAGGGGTTACTCCTGGCTCTGCACTCAGGAATTATCCCTGGTGGTGCTCAGAGGACCGTATGGGATGCTGGGAATCGAACGTGGATTGGCCGCATGCAAGGCAAAGACCCTCCCCACTGTGCCATTGCTCCAGCCCCCAAGTTTTTCATTTTAAGCAGCATGTTTCCGACTCAGACCCAGCAATATGCAAATATTAGCAGCAGAAACTGCAAAGTGAGATAGGGCATAGGAAGTATAAGAAAATGACTAACTGAAACAGAAGGTCAAATAGCGTTACATAGGCATTATTTATTTCCTTGTTCTTTAAACGAAGAAATTAACTGTTGGGACTGGAGCAATAGCACACCGGGTAGGGTGTTTGCCTTGCACGCAGCTTACCTGAATTCTATCCATGGCATCCCGTATGGCCCACCAATTACCACCAGGAGTAATTCCTAAGTGCAGAGCCAGGAATAACTCCTTAGCATCTCTGGGTGCGACCCAAAGAGCCAAAAATTTTTTTTATAGGAAGGAAAGTACTGTATCTGATCTCACAGGGAAAAGTGACGATTGGGAAAGGTTTTCTAGGTTGACATTTGGGCTGGTTCAGAAGAGCGAAGAGAGTACTGGAACAATAGTACAGCGGGTAATGTGTTTGCCTTCACGCAGCCAATCTGGGTTCAATCCCTGGCACCCCATTAGGTGGTAATCTGAAAATTTAAAAAAATAATGGGTATATTAAGTGAATACTTTTTTAAAGAATTATTTCGATATCTTTCTGTTTTCCTCAGGAAAATCCAATGTTATGGATGCACTTAGTTTTGTAATGGGAGAGAAAACAGCTAATTTAAGAGTAAAAAATATCCAAGAACTCATTCATGGAGCACATATTGGGAAACCTGTTTCTACTTCTGCAAGTGTAAAAATTATTTATTTGGAGGAAAGTGGAGAAGAGAAAACGTTTACAAGAATTATCCGAGGTATTTTCTTGTCTAAGTCTGCTTATGAATCTTTTTTTTTTTTAAAGTTGGATGATTTGTTTTTTTCTGTCTTTGAAGGGTGTGATTGATTCCACCAGCATAGCAACTCTAGAAGTTCTTTCCTTTGGGATAGTAAGTCGCAAAAACAAGGAAGACAACTTGATTGATTCTCTACCAGGTCTCATCTATGAGTAGAATATAAACATTCAGACCAGAGCACCATCCTACTTACGTTATTTTGGAGGAGGCTCCCCTAACGGTGCTTAGAAGACTTGGGGGTCCCTCTCAGTGACTTCTGGCTGGTAGGACTGGCAGTTCAGCGCAGGGGCCCCAGGATACAGTGCTGCTAACGGCCCAGGAATACCAGGGATGCCTGGGTCACACCTGGCGATGCTGAGGGGAGCCTTTAGGGCTCTACCTGATGACTCTAGGAGACCAGTTGGTGCTGGGGATCCACCTGGGGTGAGCTGCGTGCAGCCATGTACCCCAACCCCTGTACTCTCTGGCCCCTCCGTTCTGTTTCAGATGGCAGTGTCTGTTTCTGCTGTGCGTAAACTTTTGTGCCCCATTCCCAGATCTATTTTACTTATCACCACTTAATACTCTCTCATATACTTCATTCATTTTCACATACCTCTTTTTTTTTTCCTAGTCTCTATGATGAGATTGCTTCCTGGCCTTTTGGTTAAGTGTCTGATCTGTTCTTATCAGTTTGATATCTAATACATCCTCTATCTGAAGACAATATAGCGAATGGATTTTTGGAGCTAGGAGTTGGAATAGGAGCTTGCTCCAGCCACTCTACACATCGACCGGGTATCGCAGTACCTCCAGGAATTGTGCATCAAAAATAAATAAGCAAATCTCTGCGATGAGGCTATGAACTCATTGAGTTCAGACTTTGGTCTGTTTGGTTCATTGTGGTGTCAGATAATCAAGTGCATTTATTAACACGTAAATTGTTGCATAACTGACTATTTCAATAAGGGGAATTTTAATAAACTTAATAGTTGTTATCTAGTATTTATACTTCCTATAACAGTCTTTGTTTTTATTATAGGGGGAGGCTCAGAATTTCATTTCGGTGACAATCCTGTGAGTCGTTCTGTTTACATAGCAGAATTGGAAAAGATAGGCATAATAGTCAAGGCACGCAACTGTCTAGTTTTTCAGGTAGGTAGTTTATTTGATTCATGATTTTGAAAATATATCGCTATTTTTTTAATATATATTGTATCCTTTACTGTTTTTAAAAGGGAACTGTTGAGTCTATCTCAATGAAAAAACCCAAAGAAAGAACCCAGTTTTTTGAGGAAATAAGTGCATCAGGGGAACTTATAGGAGAATATGAGGAAAAGAAAAGAAGGTTACAAAAAGCTGAAGAGGATGCACAGTTTAATTTTAATAAGAAAAAGAATGTAGCTGCAGAGCGCAAACATGCAAAATTGGAGAAAGAAGAGGTAAGGTTTCATGAATATCCTATTGGGTTACAGAAATTGTTTCCTAGGTATTATGAAGCTACTTAAAAGATCTTTTAATAACAGGAGCGAAAGTACAACGTTCATTAAAGATAAACTTTTTGAATTTTTCACTGCCAGGATTTTCTTTTTTAAAATTTTTTCTAAACAGGCAAGACTAAACTGCGAAAGTATCTGATTTTCCCAAATGAAAATGAACATGAGGAATTTATCTTGCATGTCTCAAACTTCTGGATATTTTTCCATTATGCTTTTTTTTTTTGCTTTCTGGGTCACATCGCAATGCACAGGGGTTACTCCTGGCTCGTGTACTCAGGAATTACTCCTGGCGTGCTCAGGGGACTATATGGGATGCTGGGAATCGAACCCAGGTGCAAGGCAATCAGACATGTGCAAGGCAAACGCCCACTCTGCCATCCCTGCAGCCCCCCGAGATGCTCTTAAAAATTATTGAGGCAAGGAAGATAAGGCTCATGCATTGCCTGTGACCAACCCCAACTTTACCGCTTGTCGTTCCCGAATCCTGCCAAGAGTGCTCCCTGAGCACAGACCAGAAGTAAGCTCTGAGCACTGCCAGATACAGCTCACCTCACCCAAATTATTGAGGAACTCAAAGGAGATTTTGCTCATGGAACTAGGAGATATTACAGTGGTTAGCGTGTAGTGCCCCAATCCCAGTTTGATTCTCAGCACCACATTGACCCCAGGTATCATTGGGGGCAGCCCTGGAGTCCCCTCACAGAGTCATGGTTCAAGTAATACCTCACGCTACAGGGCCCAAGCAACATCGCGTCCGTAGGTCCTTGCACTGAACTAGACAGTCCGATTCACTGAGAATTGCTGATGGGGCCCGACAAGCCTGTGAACACTGCTTAGGAGGCCTTCCTCCAACCTCAAAAAATGAGTTTTTGTTCATGTGGGATATATATATACTGGGAGCAACATTTATTGTATTTGAAGATTTACACATAAGTATTTTTTAATGATAAATGTAAAAGGTCATATACTCTTGAAATGTTGATATGAATAACTTTGGTTTATTTTTTCCGGCTACCCCTGGCAGTGCTCAGGGCTTACTCCTGGTTCTGCTTTTGGGGATCACTCCTGGCGGACTCGGGGGGGACCTTATGTGGTGCCGCAAATTGAACCCTGATCGGTGGTATGCAAGGCAAGCACCCTATCTGCTGTGCTATTGCTCTGGCCCACACAGGTTTTTTTTTTTTAATTTTACGTATTATTTTTTAAAAATTTGTGAGCTAGGGGCTTGAGTGATAGCACAGCGGGGAGGGCGTTTGCCTTGCATGTGGCTGACCCAGATTCGATTCCCAGCATCCCATATGGTCCTCCAAGCACTGCCAGGAGTAATTCCTGAGTACAGAGCCGGGAGTAAACCCCGTGCATCACCGGGTGTGACCCAAAAAGGAAAAAAAGTTAAAAAATTTTATGAGATAGATCATTAAAAAACTGTTCATGATTAGGTCTCAGTCATACAGTGTTCCAACATCCATAGCTCCACCAGTGTACATTTCCTAGCTAGCACCAACGTCCCCAGTTTCCCTTCCTGCCTCCCCCATCAGCCTGTCTCTATGGGAGACACCTCTCTCTCTCTCTCTCTCTCTCTCTCTCTCTCTCTCTCTCTCTCTCTCTCTCCCCCGCCCCCCATGATGTATTCAATATGCCAAATTCAGTAACAAGTCTCACAATGGAGACGTTACTGGTGCCTGCTCGAGCAAATCGATGAACAACGGGAGGATGGTGCTACAGTGCTCTTCTCCCTTAACCCGTATCTTGCTTGTTTGTGTCTGTCTCTTTGAACTGGTATTCTCTCAAAAGTATATTTCTCTCCATCTCCCCCTACCCCAACTCCAACACGTCTTTCTAAGTAAGTTTTATTCAGTAAAAACTTTTCTCACACACACACACAAAGCAGAACACTGTGTGTTACTGCACTGACCCTGGGTGTTAAATATACACGTTAAAACCTAGCAGTTAGTTGGCGTTTAGACCATAATTGCAGATATTAGCACAATGAAAAAGCAAAATCATTTTTGTTTGGGGGCCACATCAGTGTTCACCAGTTACTCCTCATAAGGTTTGGCGGACCAGGGATCAAACATAGGCCAGCAGCATACAAAGCAACACACTACCTGTTGTATTATCACGCAGGCCCCACAAGCTGGTTTTAAGTAGCAATATTTATTACCCAAAACAAGTGTGAGAAAATGGCTTTTTACTAAAAACATGAGAACATCAGCCCTGCAAAACTCGGGCATCTGGCTCTTCTGGAAAAGAAAATAGCAAAAGATTTGAGCTGGAAGAGACAGCATGTTCAGTAAACTATGAATGTCACCATGGTGGGGAGAGAAGTTAAGTTGGAGACGCAGAAAGGAACTGCTGCTTAGAGGAGACTGGATTCTCAGGGCTCTGCAAAACTCAGTCCTTCAGAGGCTTTATACAAGAGTCTGATTGACGTTAGAAAAAATACTCTAATGCAGATGTATGCAGGAGGCCAAGTTTGATCCTCGTACCCCTAAATTAATGTTAACCATATACAAGATTATGAAATATGGTTTTTTTTTTTTGCCCTCCCGTTGATCATCGATTTGCTTGAGCGGGCCCAGTAACGTCTCCATTGGAGACTTTGTTGTTACTGTGTCTGGCATATCGAATACTCTCGGTAGCTTGCCGGGCTCTCCGAGAGGGGCGGAGGAATCGAACTCGGGTTGGCCATGTTGGCTGCGTGCAAGGCAGATGCCCTACCCGCTGTGCTATCGCTCCAGCGATATATATATGATGTATATGATATATATATACATATATATACACACATTTTTTAAAATGGCTACATTTTTTTTCTGGGTTTTGGGCCATACCCAGCAGTGCTCATGGCTTACTCTTGCCTCTGAGCTCAGAAATAACTCCTGGCAGTGCTCAGAGGACCTTATGGAATGCCAGAAATCGAACCCAGGTAAGCTGTATGCAAGGCAAGAGCCCTACCCGCTGTGCTTGCTCTCCACTTCCTATTATGAATTGCACCAAAAGTTTGTAAAGCAGCATTTGTAGGGGCTGGAGCAATAGCGCAGCGGGTAGGGCGTTTGCCTTGCAAGCGGCCAATATGGCTGACCCGAGTTCGATTCCTCCGCCCCTCTCGGAGAGCCCGGAAAGCTACCGAGAGTATCTCGCCCAGACGGCAGAGCCTGGCAAGCTCCCCGTGAAGTATTCGATATGCCAGACACAGTAACAAGTCTCACGATGGAGATGTTACTGGGCCCGCTCCAGCAAATCGATGAATAACAGGAGGACCGTGGAACAATAGCACAGCGGGTAGGGCGTTTGCCTTGCACGCCGCCAACATGGCCGACACAGGTTCGATTCCCAGCATCCCATATGGTCCCCCGAGCACTGCCAGGAGTGATTCCTGAGTGCATGAGCCAGGAGTAACCCCTGAGTATCGCTGGGTGTGACCCAAAAAGCAAAAAAAAAAAAAAAAGCATTTGTAACATGTCATGGCTTCCTCCAACAGCTTCTTTTGGAGTTACCTAAGTTCAAAACTTTTAACATTCAGATTATTTTTTTTGCCTTGGGGCCATAGAGAGATACCTGGGTTCAATTCCCTGAGCCCCATTTGGTCATGAAAGATTTCTAAGAGTGATCCCCGAGGGCCGGGGCAGCAGCAGATAGGGCATTTGCCTTGCACGTGGTGAATCCCTGGCCGGTATCCCATAAGGCCCCCAAGCACCACCAGGAGTCATTCCTGAGTGCGGAGCCAGGAGGAACCCCCAAGCATCGCTTGGGCGTGACCCAAAAAGAAAAAAAATGATCCCTGAGCACAGAGCTAGGAGTAAGCCCTAATCTCCAGGTATGGCCCAAAAAAATTTTTAAAAAAATGATTTGCTTGCTTATTTCCAGACTCCTTACCTCTCCCCTCTCCCATAGAATAATAAGATAGTAGCCCTGTAAAAGCAGGAATTGTTTCTTTCACACTATGTTTCCAACACAGGGTGAACAGGGCCTTGCACAAGGTATTCATTTTTGTTTGTGTGGGGGCTATTCTCTTGGGTTCTCTGGGCTCCCTGCACCATGCTGTCTCTCTTGCCCTAACTAATGAATGTTTGGGGGGAAATCAGTGAAAGTGGTTGTCTATCTTACTAGTGAGGTCTCTTTTTCACATTTTTGTCTATGAATACTATTGGTCTCTCCAGTGAAAAGAGTTGTGTGTCAACGAAATTCAGATGGTATTATCAAATACTGAAACTGTTGGCAGAAATACGGGGCCAGAGAGAGATTCCAGGGGCTAAGGCGTTTGCCTTGCATGAGGCAGACCCCAGTTCTTTCCACAGCACTGCATTTGTTCCCTTGAGGACTGCCAGTA